AACCCTCCAGGTGCGAGAAATCACTCGCCTAGCCACTAGGCATGAGGAATGACTTGCCCAGACCTGTAGCACTCACCCAACATCAGGCCTGGGCAAATTTCGGCAAAAATTCCTTCATGGACGAGTGTTTTCCATTAGATGTGTATGTTTTTAGTGTGTGTTTGAGGTGTGGCTATAAATAGACTTAGTGCTTTGTACTTTGAGATAAATTCTTTATTTTTGTTTTTAGTTTTTCTCTCTTTCTCTCTCACTCTCTCTCTCTCTCTCTCTCCCTGTTTGTAGTTTTCTTTTTTTTTTTGTAAAGGCTCCAAGACTCAATTTTTCTTGTACTATTTTTTTCGTCAAGATTGAACTTTTCGACTTATTTCTTTTCGTGGATGCACTAAAGACTTCGAGACTTAGGACCAAGATCTCGTAAATTTTTCATGTCTTTACTTATTAGATTTTTCTGGTGTAAAGGTAGGAGTTCTCATGAGTAGAGAATGTTATCATTCTTGTGGGCAAGGAAATATAGGACTTTGTAGTTGATTGCATGAGCGAGAATTAATTGAGTGCTCGATTGGTTGATTCTCGAGTGACGATTGGTTGATTGTGTATTTTCGAATCTATGAGTGCCTTTTTCTCATCTCGGATCTTAGGGTACCTTGTTCTTTTTATTTTTCTCTATTTTTCATTTTTGTTGCAGTTTAAGGACTTGTAGAGTGTTTAGAACTTTTATTTTCTTTTCGTGTGTGAGTCAATCGTTACTTGAATTCCTGTCCGAACAACCTTCCTTGAGAGACACGATCCGAGGACGGGATTTTAATCCATGCTCAGCTAAAAACTACAAACAAATTAGCGTCGTTGCTGGAGAAGGCGAGTAGGCCACTGGATTTAGACATTTAATTGACTTATTTTACGTGTTTCTCTTGATTTTTGTGCCCTTGCTTAATTTGGTGTGCTTCTCTTGGTTGTTTTCTTATTTTCTATTCCTCGTGCTATTTTGTGTTGGTAATTTTGTAAATATCGTGCCTTCTTTTTCGTGTTTTGTGTTGTTCTTGTGTTAGTCTCATGTGACTTGGTTTGTTTGTGGTTCTTGTGCGAGGTACTTCGCTTGAGGAGCTCCGATGGATTTATATGGATATTTTTATGTCGGAAGCTCGTCTCATGGATACACCGACAAGTACCAAGAGGAGATGTACACACCATATGGAGAGCTGCCTCGTTCGTATTTGAGCTATTCAAATTCTTACTCTTATGACGGATACTCTACATCCGACGGGTATGGCCCAAGCTATTTTACATGACATCTCGAGGGCCAAACCTTCATTTCAAACGGTTGTGTCTTCCAAGCATCACCAAGAGGTCTTGACGAGCACTCAAGAGGCAGTTGCGAGCCTTATGTCGATTGTCAAGGAGTTTTATAGTTGGAGTTGTATACCTATTCCATCCGTTTTACAAGCGACACTCACGAAGTTTGATTCAACGGTGGTAGCTTTTCTCAACTTGGGTGCATAAAAACTTTTGCTTGGAAAATATTATTCTCTATCGGTGATGATTATTCAAGAGAGTACCCGGTTAGAAGGCGAGTGTCCAGCTATGGTGAATAGGTTTTCCTCCTTGAAAGAGATGGGTATCACTTTCGTTTATGACAAAACACAATATCTCGACACGAGTGAGGACGTCAATGATATGGTTGTTAAGGAAATATCCTCATTTGACGATCCGGACGTGCATTCTACACTTGGCACGTCAAACCTCTCTTCTGGTGATTGTACTATGTGTTTAAATTCTATTGTTGAGAGTGAGTATATAGAACTGGGTAGTGATATGGCGTATGGCGTAGGAGAGAATTTATCAAAGGATTCAATTGTCCCTATCCATGAGTTCGATGATTCTTGATAGTGCTCGGGAGGATGATTTTGAGAAGAAGAATGAGTTAGTTCATGAAATTGAGAAGGATTTTGAACCGGTGTGCGATCTCGTCAACCCAAAGTTGCCATTTATTGATGATTCGACCCCCGGTGTTGAGTAGAAAGTGGTTCTCATGCCCCTCGCGTCGTCATTTCGCGTTATTGAGCCGTG